AAAATTAAATAATAATACAAATACAAATCCCTTAAGGTGGTGCCGAAGAGGTGAATGTTGTTCAAGATAAAGACGATGTTGGATAATACCTCCAACCCACTCCATGACGTGCTGGCTAGCCACAGGAGCAGTGAGAAACTGTGAAACCTGTGGCCATCTCCCTGTACAACTCCTCCATCTAACACACTGTAAACACTGCAATAGCTACACCCTTTTTGCACACACTCTTTTCTACTCTGTCATATTCCTGTCAACATTCTTGATATTTATTTATAATCACGTCTGTCAATCCTTGATATTTATTGAGTGACCTGTATATATTAGTGCTATTTCTTAAATGTCTTAAACCTGTAACATATTGTATTGTTGGTCTGTTTCTGTTATTTATACTGGAGCAACTGTAACCCACATAATTTCCTTAGGGATTAATAAAGTATGCAGATTCTGAAATAATTATACACCTCTCTGCATTTAATTATTAATCTCGGTCTCTCTTCCACAGCAAGTCTTTGTCCAGTCTTCCTCCCCACACACCAACCAATCACAGCAGATGGCATATTGAAGGTATATTGAGGAAAATCTACTTAGATTGAAGAATGCATGTGTTTCACAAAGTGCAAAAAAAAGAGATGAATCTTAAACAGGGGTTTTAATGCACAGCTCTTCATGCAGGGCCTGTCATTGTTTTATTATTGAATTGTAACAGAGCAGCTGTTAATCTGACAGTCAGATTTTTTTTTAAAGAAAAAAAAAAACTCTGGCATTCCTGTAACGAAAGTGAATCATGTGCACACAGTATCTTCCTCTTATCTCCACATGAATCGCTAATAAAGTGTCACAATCATTTCATCACACCCGGCCCTGATGAAACAAACTACAAAGGCAAGTTTTAAAATTATAATGCCGTGCATTAGCACTCACTGAATATTTTCTTTCATTTTAGCCAGATGCATTTTAATAAGACACACTGCATAAATTTGCATTTTCTGCAAACTCCTCTCACTCACTTTGTTGCAACGTGGACGGCATTTCAGGAAGTTAGATGCAGTCGGGTTTCAATGAAGACCCTCGCAAAGGAACATTGTTCAGTATTCAGCAAAACATTTAAGACAACACTGGTTAATGTAAGCATAGTTTTTACTACTTTGACTGGACCGGACGGCGGCGTGGCAGCCGCAGGACCGGACGAGGATGATGCTGCAGGCGACAGTGTGGAAACCGCAGGTGGAGGCGCTGCAGGCGATGGTGATGACTGGATGGGCTCCTCGGCCCCCGAGCGGAAGGAGGAGTCTGGAGCAGTTCCTCTGACCCCCAGTGAAAACAGAAGGCTGCTGAACGGGCCCCTTGGACCCTCCAGCGGAGGCAGGCACAGGTGTGGGGACCTCTGGCAGGCACAGAGCAGGCTGGAGCTGCGCAGGGTGTTGACTCTGCTCTGGCAGCAACAGCAGGGTGCAGTCCTCAACTGGCTTCTTAGCCCCCAGGGGTACAGAGTCAGCTGAGAGTTTAGGCCCTGGAGAGAGTAAACAGCATTTCCTTAACTGCTCCCATGAATCCCATGGATCAGGCTCCTGACATTGGGCATTGTTTACTAATATTTGTATGGAAACTTGTGCAAAAAGATTAGATCCCAAGCAAATTACCATCAGATTTATGAAAATTGCAGCGCAATTGCAAAAAGTGATTTCCAGTATTTGCCAAAAAAAAAAAAAAAGATTGTTGGTATTTAAAAAACTGTAAATCACTTGTCGGCCTATAATCTGTGAAGAGAGAACTGAGCTTAAAAGTAAAGCTGATGATTTACACCCTTTGAACCGGTC